TAAAATGTTTTGAAAAGTGAGTAAGTTATTAAATAGCTTAGTTATTAATTATTTTGTAAAGCAAACTAATAAACGTAAGTTTTCATTAGTTCCTTCTGCTTGCCTAAATTGGATTTATCCATTCAGTATTAATGCAATAGCGATAGGGTCCATAATAAACAATATAGTTATAGATTCATTATGACTTGCGCCTATGAAAACTAAATTAGCATTACACTTTTAAATAAATGTGCATAAAGCAAAGATGATATCTGTGCTAAGAGAGAGGTCTTAAACTTTTGGCAAGTAAGTGCTTGTCACTTTTAGCCAAATTCAGGAGCTAACACAGCTCAAGTCGACCTCTACCAAAAATAGAGCATTAACGATATGCCTGAGAAAACTATTTAATGTTGTCACAAAATGTATTTATTTGTCGGGATGGTTTTTCATACGTTCCATGGCTTTAATTATTATTATAATTTATACTTGATATATATACTTTAACTTTAATCTTTTTTGCTTTCAATGAGTTCCTGCGTCAACAGTTTTTTCCATTTCTCATGTATTTTATGGGGAATGTAATATTAGTCTCTGCTGCGAAAATTCTATGCCCAGCTCCCACTGTCTTAATATTATATTAACTATATATTCACTGTTATATAACAGTGAAGCGTTTTCTCTTTACTATACTTAAAGTAAAATTTCTTAAGGGGCTTTTTTCGCATAGTTCTGGCTTCTATGCTTCCGTTGAAATTCTCACACCAAGAGAAGCAACAACAATTGAGCTTATTTCCGGCGGAAGTATCAGTGTTTGGCAATTTCCGGTATGCTACTGGCTAAGCATCCATTTGTCTATGCACGACATCCCACCAAGGCAATAAATGTTAATACTTATTAGGTACATGCCTCCGGGAATAACGGTCAGCAAACTTCTACCGAGGGCCCATAAAAATAAACAAGCTCTTGTCATCAATAACTCGCTATAAAGTAAAACGAATGCCTTAGTTTTCATCTGCTCGAACTTCTTTAAAGAATGGTTTTCATTGGTTCTTATAATCATCATCAATCTTGTACATAAAATGCATTTTGACAGCATTCGCATATAATTTATATCAATTATTCAAATAGTTTCGCTGCAACCAAAATCTGTGCATCCTTAACAGAAACACCAATCTTAATGCACATTTATTATGATTCATTAATAACGTCATAAACAAGATGTCTGGAAAGTTGTCTTGCGGAGTTTGCATTGCCAGACGTATTCGATGTGAAATCAATGCATAGTGAGTGTATTTGAGACTCTGTCGAACTGAATTAGCGATGCCATCAAGAGGCACAAATTAAAAACTCTTAGACAAAACAAACAGAAAAATATTTTTTTTAAAACCGCATTTAAAATACTCCTGTACATGTGTAATGATTTATGTCGTTGTTCAGATGAAGTATTTATATACTCCTCCTTCAATGCTTCATATATTTTGTGACAACATTATTATTCTCTGTAAGAGTATTGAATTGGACTCTTTTATTGGACATTGTCGATTTGAAAATACCCTGCCCTCTGGTATAAAGTTTTGCTTAAACAGTTTAAGCGCTACCGGTAGCCATAATTACAGCAGACCATCTGATTAACGTTTCTAACTGAATAATCCTTGCCTTATTTGATTAGCAATATTTATATATAAGGTTCGGCATTATCTCCTAAGCCCAATAGGATAATTTTCCAATATAATGAGCACAGGGTATTGTTGATAGTCAAGTCAATAACCAAATGCTGAGCGAATATTTGTTTGCTTTTATTGGGTCTGTCTGACGCGCGGTTAAAGGTTATCATGTTATCATTGCGACTTAGCTCGGTGATTACAATTTATTTGAATATAGCTGAAACCAGCGGGCGCATTTCTCAGTCGACGGCTGCAAGCGTAAACATTTTGAAAATGAAACTTTTGCTATTTGTATTGGCGCTCTGTACTGGCGTTCTGCTTAGCGCCGCAGAGGGGAACTTGCTAACACGCCTACTACACCGGGATACGAAATCATCGACGACGACGGCGACTACAGAGAAAACAGGCAATCAGCTCTATATAAACAACAACTTACCAATCGTGGAGTCGCAATGCATTGCACATTATGCATGTAGTAAGAAGCTTACAAATGTGGCAGCACCACGTCCATGCGTTAAGTACTGCCTGAAACGCATAGAGTGCCCCAACAACCAGGTGATTCGCGGCAAGCCTAATCAATGCGTGGAGCTAGACGAGACTCAAGTGTTGGCCGACTACGAAGCAACAACTACGAAACCATCGTCATATGGTGGAGCAACAACCGAAAAAATAATGGAGGTTGCTATGATTGATTTTCCCTGTCAGCCAGGCTACCTGCCCGACAGCCGTGGGCGCTGCCGTGAGATATGGTGATTTGATCAGTAAAACACAAGAGGAAATCAAGTTTGTACCGTTCGCGACATTTTAACCTAGAACTTTGAAATTGTTTAAAAACTTCCTTCTCGATTACATAAATAATAGAGTAATGAGTTTATAATAAAAGTAAAACGAAATACCAATTAAAAAATTTCAATCTAAGGGTGGAGTGCCGTGATCCCAGGTATTTTGTCTTCTTTTTACACAAAAACAACAGTAGCAACAAGTCATAGAACTAAGAAATTTTAACAAACATAATTGTGATGTTCTGTAATCTGTTAATCGTGTAAACTTTACGATAAAATTACTATGCTTTGGCCAGGCCCATGAGTGGACAATATAGAGACAAGTATTAAAATTAGCAAATGACAAGGCGTAGACAAAAACAAGACGAATACTGCGGCTTATCACGTGATTGACGCATGTTTTCACAGAGAAATTCAAATGTTAATATGACGCGCACCCAGCTAAAAAAGGGCAGGCGACTGGCAAAGTGGAATTTTATGACTCCGTCATGTTAACTGTTTAGCTTTGACGCGGTTTATTCTCGTTCTTGTTATTATTAGTTGGCTGTTGGGACATTGTTGTAAGCCATAATTTGTGCGCTTGTAACTCACAATTTTAACAGTCAAGTCAAACGAAACTAAATTTATTAATTAACTGTGCGGCCGCCACCAAGTTTGACTCAATTTAAGCTCATTCTTTTTGTTTTCTTGATTTCCGCTTCCGACGCCGGCAACGAAGAGAACGACAACGAACCTGAACCCTAGCAGTTTACTTTAGCTTGGGCTTATGGTAATCAGCCCAAACCAAAATTCCAACCATCCATACGCTGCCACACCCCTAACCCAGCCTAGCCCACCTGTGTCTGGGTCTGGCGTGGCATTTGGAAATTAAACCGCACTTAGCCCTTAAAATTTTATAACTTAATTTTTGTGTTGTGTTGCACAGTTATATTTTTTCTTGTTGCTGCTTTTGGCATATTTGTGAACTTTTTGATTTGATTTTGTTTTCTACCGCTCCGCTGATTTCCTTCTTGTTGTTCGCTGTGTGGTATTTGTGTTATGCGTGCTGTCTTTTCAACAATGGTCGAATACTGTGGCCTGGTTTCAGCTCGCTCCTCTATTCTATAGAAATTTGGCATGCGAATTACAATAATAAACTGCTGGCATTTATTTTATACAGGAAAATATTTTGCGCTGATAAGCTTGATCTATAGCTACAGGAATTCAAATGGACTGCGATAAGGGTAATGATTTTTTAAGGATTAAGCCTACGGGCGTGCCAAGCACTCATTTGAAAGTGATTGAAAGGCAACATAACTCAATCGCTTGGGTTTAATTGTACACTTTACAAGATTCGAGTGTTCAAATGCTCTTTACATGCGCAGCTTCGTTTTATTTGGTTTCCTTCGCTAAAAAAACAAACCAAAAACAAAACATTCATAAAACTATTTAAGCTTACATCAAAAATAATGAGATTCTGTGCATTTTAAATACCATTCACAAGTACCCCATGAACTGAAAAATACTCAGCACAGCTTGTAGTCAAAGGCCAGCGCAGGAAAATAACGTAAATAAAAACAACTATTAATACAACACAGAAAGCAACGACAACTGAACAAAACCAAAGAATTTTCATTAAAATTCTCATTTAGCTGCGCAATTATTTCAGTGCAGCAATTTTAATAACACTAATTTACCTTCAGTTTTCAACTCGCTCTTCCTATAATGCGAAAAAAAACGGAACTGAGGCAAAACCTGCGAAGCTGAAAGAATAAAACTGAATCAAAAAAATATCATGCACTGATGAATTCTTACTCCTTTTCACTTATTCCCTGGTTTATAGACGTGGAAATACAAATGTGTTCTTTTATTTTAACTAGCCGCAGCTCAGTCAATTTGCAAAGTCTGTCATCTTAAAAGCGACATTAACAATAGCAGCAAAACCAGCAAGAAATTTGCACTCTTGTTAAGTCCTTGGCATTGCACGTATAGTATTCGCTTTCGGTACGATGTTAACAAAGTCCCCTTTATAAATAGTTCTTATCACTTTCTTATTTTATATGTACAAAAATAAAAAAATTGCAAATGGTCGGATTGTAAATTAAATTAAATTTCAAATGGCACGCCCTTTTAAGCATGTTGTGTGGACTTTAGAAGATTTCCCTTCACATTTTTAGATGATGAAATTACTTCAATTAATTTTCCCGAAACGCACTTTTAGATTATTAATGTTCAGACACAATACACAGAATATACATACATAATAAAAATTTGTTGACACAGCAAAGGATGCAAATCCCCTCAAATTAATTGAGAGCCCAATTACCAAAATCCAGGTCGGAGAGGAGATTAACACAAATCTCGTCATAATTAGCATTTCAGTAAAAACAATAAAATGACTTGCCGATTGCAAACTCTTGGTAATTTTTTGTCAATGCCGTATTCTAGGAGGGCTTTAAGTCTTTTAGGATTACCGCTAAGCCTTGATAATTTATGCAAAAGTTCAAACTAGGCAAACTTCTGAGTAACTGAGAAATTTGTACAACAAAATGCTATCTCACATTTAAGTTTAGTACGAATGATGTTAAAAACTCACCTAGGTCAATTATTTCCACGAATGGTCAAGCTGTAAATTAAAAAAATACCAAAATTGATAATATTTATATATTGATTTCTATTTAAATAGTTTTTGTTTTACAAAAGAAAATAAGTACAAAAATAAGAAAAGTAAGTACAATACAAAACACATTTTGGTTGGGATCTCTAAAAACTTTTCAACTTACTAAGTCTACCCCTCACCTTACGCTCTTGGCAATATGTTAGTATTAATAACTAATGGTTATGTTTAACTACAAAAGATAAACAACTACAGAAAGGTAGCGATTTTACTCATTGGTATCTCACTTGATAAATTATCGGCGCTCTCGCTACTCTACTTTATATTTTGTTGACCGTTCGCTGAATTAAGTTCACCCACATTGGTCAGTGGGCCTGGTTCCGATGAACCGGGTGTTACAGGCGTTTCAGCTATGTCCTCAGGATCTCCATGTTTAAGCCAGAGCGGAGCAAGACGAAGCATCAAAATAGCACCCAACGGTGCTGTGAAAATAATAGCCAGAACCGAAATTATGAGCACGTTGTTGGCCAATGTTAAATCACTTGCGACTTTGGCTGAGCGAGCCAAATCTAAAGCAACCGGACCCAAGGCAGCCTGTGAAGAGATAACATTTTCAGTTATAGTAGATCCTTACAATTTTATGAAGGCTGCTTATGCTGTCCCATCTGTATGCCTGCTACAATAGCGAGTGTATACGCAAATGAATAAAATTTTAATAAATGTACAAACAGGTGGACATGACGAATTACACAACCAGCGAAATGCAGACTGCATATTAAACATTATTTAAGAAGCAGAAATTTACGGTCATCCCTCGAGAAGTACTGCGTCGCAACGAGAAGCATGTTAAAGCCGCAAACAGGAGGTCGCTAGCTAAGCAAATGTAACATTTTCATTCTGGCTAACCACAAAAGGGGGCGCAACATAAACGCGTACGCCCCAAGGCGCACACTCTTGCATACGTTTGCGCTCGCAATGCGAACAAAATGTCCTCTTGCACTGCAACTGCAGACAACAACGGATTCAACCACAACAATATGATCATGCAAACACAAAGCATAGCTTTAGCTTTTGAGAAAAACAACACAGCCCAAATAATGGCATGCCAAAATCAGTATGGCCAATGTCCAGTGACCATGCCGAGCTAAAATAAAAAGTTGCACTTTCTCATTGTCATTATACCTAGTAAAGCAGTACAGCAGCCGCAGCGTCGTCATAGCAGTTGAAACGGTAAACTTACTTGGACGGTTGCTTTGGGAAAACCGGAAATTGTAATGTAAGCACGCTCCTTTCTCGACAGATTTCCGCCATATGTAGATAAATATGCAAAAGCTAATCGGAGCTGAAACGAGAGCAAGAGAGAAAGCAGTCATGATTTTTAAATTCCTAACAGTTTGCGTTGCTTTGCAGCCATTATTTTAATTTAAAATTTTAGGTATTTTTTTGTATTCTATTTTATTTATTGTTCAATAAATTGAGTGCATAACCTTCAGTCCGAAAGCCGCAGAGGCGGGCAAGCCAACAAAATGTTTTCATACACAAACTAATGGTATGCAAACCAAAAAGGAACAATTACAGCGGCATTGCCGGTTATTTTAATTACCAAACTTCCAAGCAGCACCAGCAGCGCTCCATAGCCAATTACGCGACCTTCAAGCACGGCAAAATTGATTTCCTTGCCAATTAGTGCAAAAGAGACGGGCTTTAGAAATTTCCACAGTAGATCCAGACGCTTAGGAACACTTGCCTTAATCAAAAATTTCGTTTATTAGAATAATTAATAAATATAAATTACAAACGTGCTATAAATATTTTTATACATTTTAATAAATTTCGCCTAGTGGCAATATTTAGTTCTAAACCAAAGGCAAAAATAATATATTTTGCTAGATAATCATTTATTATTCAGTTAATCTTCACGATACTTATGTTTATACACTAAATAGTCTATAAAAGGCAACGCTGACGAGCTGGGTACTTACTATTTGATGTGCTTGCATTTGATGTGGGGTCAGTTTGTGCTCCTCCCTTTTCCAACCAATGCCTGCTATAAAGGCCAACATTACACAACCTAAGGCACCGGCCGAAGTATAGCCGATAATTCGGCTGCCCATCACAGCTATTGAGCCACCCAAGATTGTCAAAGCAAAGCGCAGTCCATTTGCATAGACCTGGAAATAATGGATAAAAAAGAAAATAAGAAAATAATTTCAATAATAAGCAAGTGTGGTCTAGCCCCGCTCATTCATACACAAGCAGACATCAGCTCTTGCGGATGCGCCCTTGCTAAAAGAAAGTTCTTTAACATCTTCTGGGTACTACAAAACAATAAGTTGGGTATGGGTGTTTAAATAAACCTAATATGTACTGTATGCCTTTACACAACCGGGTTTTAGCTAGCAACTGAGTTCTATATCATAGGTGACGTGTGCCAACATAAGTGAAGTTAATTAACAACTAAGTACTATATTAAATTCAAGAAATTTCGGAAAACGCAGACCAAGCACTTTAAATTTTATCAATGTATTTGTATCCTACATACAACACACAGTGAAATCTGAATTTAAAAGCCTTTTTCTAAGTAAATTAAAAAAAAATTGTGTATATTTTGCTCTTGGCGTACATTCCAAGATTGAAGTCTCGACGTCGATCATACAGAGGGACGGGCGGTCAGCAAGACGGGCAAAAAACTAATACACTCTAACAAGTTAGGGAACATAATAAGAAAAAAAATACCAGGACTTGATGGCAGCAACAGTAACCCACATACACACTAACAATAAATAGTGATAGTTGCGAATATATGCATGGATGCAAGTGGTGCGTCTTAAAAGGAACACAGCATGACATTTTTGTACAAACGGCAGTTTCGCGTAGTGGTTATAAGAAAAAAACAAAAGTTATGAGGGGTCCATGTATATGCACATGTGTGAAGATCCATGTTTATGTACATGTGTGAGGGCGTGTGTATTTCCGAGTTCAAAGGCATTCAGTGCCACCCATGGCGTTTGATTATGCGCGCCATTAGCGGTGTAAGTTGCGGCAATGAGTTTTGTGGCTGCAACGAAGCTCTGTTGCCGCACGCTGCTTGCATCGCAACTGCCTGCATCACAGCTGCCATAAGTTCCATGGACGCTGGCAGTTACTGTCGTCGCAAATGTCTCCAGCTCCAGTGGCATCGTCGACATCGTTGCCTTGGATGTAAGCGTGTTTTTATGCAAAATTCGCCCAGGCACAAACACACACAACGACACATATTCTGATATACGTATATAACATACATAAGTGTTGCATATCTATACCATCCTATATATATATATATATATATATATATATATATCACACTACAATTCGCAAGAAAGGATTGTGGTATGTATGATAGCTTTCGAAGCCTTACGCCACCCAATAACATTGCGGTGTCGCGCGTTTTGTACCATTAAATGCGCTGATTGAGTGTAGTAAGTGTTCACTGAATGTACTTTTTTAGTGCAGCGCGATGCAGTGAAAGTATATTATAACTGCTTTGTACTGCTGTCAGAAACAGTGCTGAATTCCACCCATGGCTTACCGCATTCCGCGACGGCAAATAGTGAAGCATCATGCCGTAAAGATAGCCGAAAACAAGTCCAATACCAATACCAATGGGTCCTTGCAATACTTTTTGTGTCAGTGAGCCTGAAAGTATGCAAGCATGTTTATTCTCTTTTGCATCAGAGCAGCAGAGATTTGGTTTTTGCGTGGCACGTACTTGTGGAGAATATAATGCTGATTACAACGCCAAACATGAAAATAGCAACGACGTCATTGCACGTGGTCATAGCGTATATTAGGGTGTGTATGCCACTGTTCAGACCCAGGCGATCCTCCTTTAACTTGAGCATGACTGTGACGACAACATTGGGTGAGACTGCTGTGATGACCAGGCTAGAATACAATCATGTTATACATTTTTCAACCAATATACCTCTTAAGTACTTACCCCAGAGCTATCCCCCACATCCAGGGCATGGACAATGTAAAATATGCCAGCACAGCTATAACGGCAACCTCCACTATTGTCGGCACGAGTGTCAGCCGGAGTATCATAAGCCATAACCGCCTAAATGCACTGCCATCGAGTCCGAGACCAGCTAGGAGCATGATATTAGTCAATGCCAGTTCTCTGCAAACTCAACTAATTAGTGATAGCATTTAGCTAGGTTTCTACACACTTACCTTAAAAATAGTTCAAAGCGCTCATAGCCTTCGAAATTGGCCAAGCCAACATTGGTGTAAAGGACACCGAACAAAAGCATACCCAGCATGTCTGGCAAATGTATAAAGGTAACTAATATGCCAGATATTTGAGCACCAACGAAAAGTAGTATAATGCGCATTATCACCGTTTCAGGTGCAGCATACTGTGGCAACAATGCCAAGGCCAAGGTCCAAAGCGCTAGAAAAATCATAAGCAGGGCAATATGCTCCGACACAAGAGACCAGTGTACAACAAAGTTTCGCCACCTAAAAAAAATAAGCGAACTTGGCTTATGTAAGCAATACTTTTATGACTAGTCAACTTATCGCTAGCAGAACATCAACCCACGACCAAAAATAATTTCCGTATGGCCTTTCGTGCATGTTTCTTAATTCATGACACCCTAATTGCTGCTAATTATCCTGTCACATCGGTAAATAAAAACCCTTCGTATAGAATAATGCAGAGCAGAAATGGAAAACCATTCGCATCGCACACAAGCTATTCATTGGATCCTGTGGATCATGCAACTTTGCGGGGTCTGGCCCTGGCCGCATACGACTAAAAAAGATTCCTACATTCGGGTATTTTTAAAAAAAAACTATCGATATTTACTACACGTTCCAATTACATTCACTTTCATTGGGCTAATGTGGATAGAAGCCTTTGTATCAAGCAACTTGGAGCAGGCTGGACAGGTCCTATACATGTCTATTACAGAAATGGCACTCGTTATAAAAATTCTAAATATATGGTATCAAAGTGAATCTGCCAGGCAACTAATAACCCATATGCAACACTCGTCCGAGTATGAGCTGCGATCGGAGGAGGAGCACAGCAATTGGCTACATGAACAGCGCGTCTTCAAATGTCGATTCTATTTATACGTGTTTATAAGTCTAGGAGTTGTCTACAGCAGCAGCATAGGAGTATTGTTTCTTAACGACTATGTGCTTCCATTTGCCTATTTTGTGCCTTTTGAGTGGCAAAACGACCAGGGTTATTTCTATGCGTACGGTTACAACATGGCTGCTATGACGCTGACCTGCGTCTCAAATGTGACCCTGGACACGATCGGGTGTTACTTATTGTTCCATTTATCGTTATTATATCGATTGATGGGCATGCGACTACAAGAGCTGAAGAATGTGGACAACGAGGATAAATTTAGGCAGGAACTGCGGATGATCTTCACGATGCATGATCGCGTACGCAGGTCACCATATCGATCTTCGTATGCTTGCTAATTAGGACTACATTTTTTTTATCTTTTTTACAGATTAACTTTCAAGGTTCAGACACTCGTTTCACCCTACATTCTCTCCCAGATCATTTTGAGTGCGTTCATCATATGCTTTAGCGGCTATCGTCTACAACACGTTGGGATACAGGCCAGTCCCGGCCAGTTTATATCCATGCTACAGTTTCTGAGTGTCATGGTCCTTCAAATTTTGTTGCCCTGCTATTACGGAAACGAAGTAACGGTCTATGCTCATAAGTTGACCAACGAAGTCTACAACTCCAACTGGATGCAGTGCGACAAACACACATGCAAGTTGCTTATTGCTTACATGGAGCATCTCAAGCGGCCTGTTATAATTCGTGCTGGGTATTTCTTCGAAGTTGGTTTGCCTATTTTTGTTAAGGTTGGTTGAGACACCTTTTTTAATGCAGTTCTCCCATCAATAATCTTTACAATTTTTGCAGACTATCAATAATGCTTACAGTTTTTTTGCGCTTCTGCTGAATGTTTCAAAATAAACTAAAGGACTTTTTCTTAAATTGAACTTAATTATGACGCAAAATTACTAAAAATTTCAATAACAAAATGTTGGCTTGGCTATTGTTTAATAAACACACTATTAGTCTACGACTTGCATTTTTATTTAAACCCGCATGTTAATGCTATTTAAATAATATATATTTAATATATGCATAATATGTATAATAATATAAATAATCATATACTAAGAACTAGAAATATACTTTCAATATAGAAGACAGATTAAAAACGTTGAATCTCATTTTTCATTGTCCTGACATCGACATAATTATGAAGACTGATAATCGGACAGAAGGATTGACTAGGATACATTTGCGCAAGTTGTGAGTTAAAAATTTATTTGGGGTTTCCCTCAAATACCAAATTTAGAACTTAAAGAATTGATTGATTAAATTCAATGTCAGCAAGAAAACTGACCTTAAATGTTTTATAGAACTTACAGGGAAAATATTGTTTGTACTCTTACGAGTCAATGCGGGCATATTGTTTATGTCAGAGTTATCCTTGCACTGACTGCGGCTAAGCCAGACGTACTTAAAATATATCAGACAGAAATTGCGTGACTTATTAAATATACGATTAATACCAATTAACGTTATCATTATGTCAGCAGGTTAATTATTGTAATTGCTTTGGTTTTAAAATTGTAAATATGCACACCAATTAAAAAACAAAGCAGGGCTGGCTTTCGTGAACACAGACGACGAATGGAACTAGTTCTTTTCGCCTAAGTCGTGCTAAGCATTGCATTTAAAGTAAGAAAGGTCCAATCCGGAACAACTATCATTATGAAAGGGACAAGGGTGAACTACATCGCTTCTGAGGTCAGCTTTTATGCCATTGGTGTGTGTCTATTAAGGGGTATTTATAAAATTTGTATGAAATTCGGGCTCAGCAAGTCTATAAAAGCAGGTAATGCCATTGGTGTGTATATATGTAGATGTATATGTACATATCTATTAAGGGGTATTTATAAAATTTGTATGAAATTCAGGCTCAGCAAGTCTATAAAAGCAGGTAATTTATAGCTGCAAGCTTATCATTAGGTGACACGAGTTTCACTTAATATGTCTACGACTGAATCTACGGATCGCATATCCGGTATACGAACTGTCCTCACAGTTCAACGTTGGTTAGGCATCTGGAAGTGGCGGAATGAAAACGATTCCTGGAGCCTACTAAAAATCATATATCCTTTTGTATTACATTTTCCATTAACATTCACCTACATTGCGCTTATGTGGTTGGAAGTCATCAGTGCTAACGGGATGGAACAGGCCGGCAATGTTTTGTATATGTCACTGACAGAGTTGGTTGTAATCATAAAGGTCATCAACATTTGGTACAGGGGCGAACAGGCCTTGCAATTAATGGATGAGCTAGAAAAACATGGACACTACAAACTGCTAAGTGGAGAAGTCGAGTTCTGGCGCCACGAACAGAGCCATTTTAAGCGAATTTTCTACTGTTATGTTGGAGGAAGTTTTCTTGTAGCTTGTCAAGGCTACATCAGCGTGCTCTACCAGGAGGCATACGAACTTCCATTCAGTTTTTACGTTCCCTTCGAGTGGCATAGCCCGCAGGGCTACTTTTATGCCTGGAGCTACAACGTGATGGCCATGTCACTGTGCTGCCTTTCCAATTGCCTCCTGGACACGATGGGCTGCTACTTTATGTTTCATATTGCTTTGCTTTACCGCATTATAGGTCGACGATTCCTTGCATTGCAGGAAGCACCCGAAGAGAAGGCTCTCCCAGAATTGCGACGCATCTTTCAGCTTCACAACCGAGTGCGCATCCTGACAAAGCAGTGCCAGCTGTTGGTTTCACCATACGTCCTCTCCCAAGTTGTGTTCAGCGCCTTTATCATCTGCTTTAGTGTATACCGCCTTGTACAAATGGGCTGGCAACGAAATCCGGGTGTGTTTCTGACCACTGTGCAGTTTGTCGCAATGATGATCGTTCAGATATTTTTGCCCTGTTATTACGGCAACGAGCTAACCGTGTGTGCTAATGAGCTTACAAATAGCGTGTTTAACACGAATTGGTTGGAGTATTCTGTAACCACTCGCAAGGTTCTCAGCTGCTACATGGAGTTTCTAAAACGACCTGTAAAGTTGCGTGCGGGAGTATTTTTTGAGATCGGACTACCAATATTTATGAAGGTACGCTTTCCAAAGTAAGCTATTAACAGATAATAAATTATGTTCTCTTCTTTTTTTGTACGCAGACCATCAATAATGCGTACAGCTTTTTGGCTTTGCTCATAAATTTGTCAAAATAGACCAAGGGTACCAGAACTAACCAACAGTTTTACAATATATACACGAAATACTAACACAAACACTATCTCAACTATATTAACAAGAACACAGCCTAAAACAATAGTTCCACAACTTAACATATATATATCTTAGTGCTGTTAATAATAATACCATGGCTACGCTGTCTATAAAGCTTAGCAAAGAAACGCCAGCTTTTTAAATGGCCATCACACTTACAAAATTTGATCCAACCAGCTATTAAGGCCGTGATTTCTGTGCAAAGACGGAAGAGCACCTTGGAAATGTAGCAGACAGACTCGTAAGGACGATGGCAACATTTGTAGCAATTGCAATAAATACAAAAAAAAAAATGTAATGTATAACAATAAGCAAGAACCTTAACAAAACGGCAATGCGAAAAACGCGTGCAATGCATGTGTGAATGTAGGCTTGTCTGTACCGGAAGTACATTCAAAGAGTTAAACAAATGCGCACATATACACACAGTTGAGAGCTCATCAGGCGCCCAAAAATGTTAGGGCTTCGCCCTAGCCCCAATGCGTTTTTGACTTACCATTTGGGTCCTTTGTATTGTTCGCTGTGCGCTGGATAACCCCTGCCATTGTTGCCAACGTCTGCGTTTGTCCTGTTGTTGATGTTGCCGCCGCCACCGGGCGCATTTGGCGATGTGTTTGTTATATTTAATGATGTCGGCGTTAAAATTATTGTTGCAGCGTTTTGTGCCGTCTCGCCAACATTCTCGCCAACGACTTCAGACGACCCATTATTGTGGTCCTCTGAGAAATTGTGTATGTCTAATTTGGTATGTGATTGCGAAGCGGGACTACCAGAAGTGTTGCCACATTGTGTCATGATGTCACTGTGCGCCGGTATGCTTAGCTGCACTTTTTGCAGTTGCTTGATGTGCTTGCCTGTAAGTAGCAAACAGGTTTAAACATTTTAAATTGTATTATAGTATGTGTCGATCCCAACGGGGGATGTATATAAGTGCTACCGTTTTGCCTTATTGTCCTTACTTTCCAAATTGGTTATAAGTGCCAGAATGCTACATTTAAGCCATTTTGCATTCATCTGTGCAACTCATGCATAACTTAAATGGCAAAAGCTAAAGCAAACACAATGGCGACGGCGACGCCATCGACACCTGCAACGTCAGCAGCAACGCCAGCTTTGCCTTGCCCTGCGTAACCAGCAACCCCCTGTCATGTATCACGTTTAAATTGCAAAATGCAGCCTCAGCAACCTTTATGCTCAAGACGTTGTCGCGAAGTCAGCTCCTCCGATGGCAAACTAAAGATTGCAACAAAGATTGACAGTCGCTGATTGCGCCGAGGTAGCGACAACTGTGACGGCAGTTGCAAAGGTGACGTCGAATGTAACAAGGGCAGGTCTTGGACTGACTTTGGTTAAAGTGCTCCAATTGCCGCCTGTCTTCGATGTCGACGCGACAGAGTTGGCATTATAGTTGCACAACAACCTATCACTGTCCTTCGACAGGGACTTTTTAAGGGTGGTAGCAAACATAAATATTTCCATAGTTGATCTATACTGACTGCCTCTAGGAGATTACTTTAATTGTTAATAATTGAAATGACTTTAGGAATCAAGCCACTCAATTAAAATTGGCTTACATTTGCAAGAAGGTACAAGTACTGTTAAAGTAAGTCCAACGTCATATTGCTTATTGTGAAGAATCAAAACAAGATTTGATTTTTTGACCGGTTTACCATTCCATTTCCCTGAACCATATTTGCTTTGACAAATCAATCTACTCGCCACTTATCACAAAGCTCCGATACGATAATTGCTTACAAATATTTGGTGTCAATTTTTGCCAGTTTAGAGTTTAGTATGACTGATTGCGTTAAATGATCACGTGTCAGTTATGGATCGAGCTATCATGCGACTAGCAAATTAATGATTGGGAAGGTTAGTTGAATCTCACATTAAAAATCTTCCAAATGCAAAACATATTTAATTAATTCCAATCAATTGAGGTATTGACTAGTAAAATTGAATAAGCTTAAAACAGACTTTTCAATTATTAGGTAGGGAATGTAAGACTGTGGCATATTAAGCCACGTCGTTTTGAGGGGAGTATATGTAATCTAGTTTTCACAATTTTGGGTAACAGGACATTCACGAGCATAAATTTAAAGTCTGGCTTCAAGAACGGCGTAAAATGGCATCTAGATATGTGTGTAGTTTGGTTGAAAAATTAAATCAACAAACATTTAAAAATCCACGATATATACTGACTGACCGATCATTGAAAACATCAAAATTTATTGGCACTATTCCTCGGAAGTCCACAATTCCAAAGCGACTCCATTAAAATGTGCTTTTACGCAGAATCGGAAAAGCCTTATTAACAAATGTTTCGTAGAAATCATGTAGTCACAAATAAGTACAAATTCTTTGTAATCTATAAGTATAATAAACAATTTACAAATTACACTTCACAACACACTTCACTAAGGTTGATACAAAACAACTGAGAATAACGAACAAATTTCTGTCTACCTACCGCACCGAGACGATAAGATTAAATGAACAAATCTGACTAATCTCAAATCTGATGCGCACCAGTCGGCGGGGTACAACTGACATAGCTCCAAACGAATCATTTTAATTTTACGGAAAGCACCGAACATCTATAGATATAGGAGAATATTTACGTTTGTTGCTGCAATATCTTATGCTAATAAAAAACATAAGCGAAACTGTCCACTACACTCTCTCAAGCTCACTCGAATGATCGCGTGCCAGCTATACACTCGGGCATTCGCTCTTTTAATTAGTTAAAATAACAAAAAACCACAGCAATAGAAGCAAGCAGCAAACAAAGCCAATGAACGAGCGATGTTTATATATAAGATTATTTGAATATTAGAAAAAAAGCAGAGCGAAAAAAACAATCTACGGCGATACGGAATATTAAATACGCTCCGAGACAGATATATATTTGTGCACCGACCTTTTTATACCCTTGTAGATTTTTTCATGAAATGTATAATGCGTAGAAGGTAATATTTCCGCCCCCATAAAGTATATATATTCTATATAACCATCAACAGCCGCGCCTGTTGCAGGCAGTACTTATGTCGTAACATGCCACATCATATAGCTGCCATAGGATCGAGCAGTCGAAATGTAGGGTCTTGTATGGACATTTTTTTTGTTTATCAAGATGCAAGATTGGAAATATGTGAGAATAGTTTAGCCCATAAATTCTGAACATGGTGAAAATATCTTGAATAACAGTATATTTTGCCATTCAAAAACTAATTTTTAGACAGTTTCTTTCTATATATATAGGAGTGCTTTTTTAATGATGTTTCCTATGCGTTACATATTTCATGATAGAATTATAATACTCTCTACAAGGGCACACACAAAATCTGTACGCCTATACCAATCTGAGTCATGGGCTAGAAAAGGGCAATTAGTTGAGATGTTGTGTCTTTGCAGCAGATAAAACACACAACCGAACAACACCGAGCTAAAATTATGTTTACAAGCGTTTGCTTATTAATTAATTAGCTATAATCAACAGTAAATATTGACCATTTCAATTCGGTACAGTTCAGTTTAGTTGGTCTGCTCTTGGTTCTTGGTATGTACTTTATAAAATATTTACAAGTTCAATTCGAATTTCCCGTTTGAAGTGCAACAAATATTTAACATTGTGTTAATTAATTTTAAATGTCTCCGCCACGTTTAACCGACGCAATAACCGACTCCGCTCGTTTGGTTACTTTTAGCCCAACGCTCCTTTCAACATTTATGAATAATGTACCGCATTTAAAAGTTTTGCGGCGGAGCCATTTTTTTCAGCCTTTCTGTTGCTAGAATTTTGAACATAAATTGCACAAGGTGTCACCAAAGATAGCAAGGAGTGCACACCATGTTGCATGAAGCAGGTAAGACGGGAATTCAGTTTCAGTTGGCTACTGCCATCGGGTGACGGCAATGTGCATTTGTATGTGTGGCCTACAATTGCAATATTTCATATTCATACACTACACAAAAAACTGTTATGAACTTTAGGTTTCCAACTTGCCAAAGTCATTAAGGTACTCTGAGGCAGAAACTTTAAGATATACGCTTTAACGTTTTTTGTACACCTACACTGAAGCCGAGCAGAAACTCTCATTATTGCTTTGGCTGTCCATTTTAGGACTCGGTCGGTAAGAATTTCCCTCTAACTGCGTTTTTTACACATCCTGGCCTCCATTGCCATTGAGCTTACGGCTGTTTTTGCCATTTTAACTTGCTTCATTTTCTTCAACTGTCAAGTGGCAAAGAATAAAAATAATCTAAAGTTTTTTGAAGCAGTTTCTTAGATGAACACAATTTTTGATTTCAATTATTGCAAAACTTTTTTAACAAAAAACGAGAAAGTAGTAGGGCTATCTTCGACACGCCGAAGAATTAATACCGAACCTTTTTATAATGCTCATAGTGCTTTGCTCGTATCTAAGAAGCACATGGGAAATAATTAATGCCGAGTATGATAAGGATATCCTGAAAAACTAAAAGTTTTAAAAACAGACAGACGGACATGGCTATATCGTCTCGGCTGTTCATACTGATCAAGAATATATATACTTTATGGGGTCGGACATGTCTCCTTCTATGCAATACACATTTCGAGACAAAATTATAATATCCTCTGCAAGGGTATAAAAAAAATGAAAATATCTTTTTACGCAGAAGATTTAAAATCCTTCCGGCTTTGAAGTGAAGCTCGAACAACCTGTTTGATGAAAATATCTTGGAAAACTGAATATTTTGCCACACAAAAACCTACTTTTCTACCGATTGTACCTATAGCAGGTATATGATATAGTTGTCCGATCCGGCCGGTTGCGATAGATGTACTGCCAGCAATAGAATGTGGATCTATGCAAAATCGGAATACGCTAGCTCTAAAACTGAAAGACTAGTTCACATAGAAACCAAGACAGTTAGGCGGACAGATGGACTCGGCTGTTGGTGCTATTTTAGAATATTTGTCTCATTCTATACGTTACAATTAAGTCAAATACAACATTGCAGGAAAGCACTTTAAGAACGCAAGTTTTATAGTTTTAGGGTTAAAGGAGAAAGCACTCTTAAGCCGTGTCTTTGTAATTGGCCCAATGACCACAGTTGTCGAGGCACATCTCATACTGCTTTGATTCTAGTAAAGTGACTTCGGGCAAGTCAAAGTCTTGTATGAGATGCGCGACGTCGAAATGCTACGGGGATGAAAACGAGTGTATTCAGTCAACGCAAGTGATTCAATGTAAATGGGATCAAAGTAAAACCAACTATGTACATAAGTAGTAAGAAATGGATTTTGTGTGTCAAGTGAACTGAAGCGCCGAGTGTCTGGCTTGGCACTTGCAGCGCTGTGTCTGTATGCTGACAGTTTCCTTTTCATTGAGCAAAAAGTTGTCCAAACATCCCGCTGACTTAGTCGTTTCTAATTATTGGGCCCAGCGTATAAATACATATATACACCACTATCTATGTGTACTTACATACGTGCATGCAAACGTTTGCATGTGCCTGCAAGTGCCTGCATTTGAATATATAAGTATAAGTACGCATATAAATGTCAATACATATGTATGTGTGTATGAATGACTCGTCGCGTTGTAAATTTATCAATGGTTAGTACGTGAAAGCAAACTGTTCTTAATGTTACATATTTAAGTAAAAAGGAATGATGAAAAATAAAAAGCTATTCATTTTCGCAGGCAGCGGAAAAAACATCCATGCAGCGCATTTAAAAGAGGGCTTAAATGGTCTGGAGCCTCAGTAAAACAATTTTGTTGCATAAAAATGAATCTCAACATATTAATTCATCCCAAAATACTTCACACATATATTAGCTGCAACATGTATATGTATACGCTTTGGCTCGTATAACAATACTACAGAAACTATTGGCTTTGCTCTTTATGTAAATGTGAACTGAATTTCTGCATGCCAAAAGGCAAAAATGATCAAAAATAAAAAAGCGACTGCAAACGCAACGTAACAATAATAATAATAGTTATTTTAGCCAAAAACAACAAGCGCCTAACTATGTTAGTGCCATGGAAATATGCGCGGCTGTAACAGCAAAAAAACCTTGGACTTGAACACGTTGAATAGCGCCTTTCGAGAATGCTTGACTTGAAGATACCCAGCTCGTATTTACTAAATAAAACATAAGTCTTATCTCAGCAAAACACGTACAACGTCTTCAAGGATACAAATATACAACATCACCGCAGCACCTTGATGGCGCCAATGTTTGGATGCACTACTTTTGAAAAGCTCGCATCATTGAATGTCCCTGTATAAGCAATATAAAAACCAAATTTCCACTCAAACCGGGAACACCCCAATCAGCAGAATGCGCGTGACAATCACTGGCGCACCAAAGTCAAGAATCGAACTGACCACCGGCTGAGCGCGGGAAAAACGTTAAATAAACGTTTGCTGTTTTTCTCTATGTACCCCAGCTTAAAGAGGCCACCATCAGTTGGTTGGCAAAATAGCGGCGTTTGCAGTGAAATCGAAGAAATGTCTGGTCTCGTCTCCTGCCTGTGTCATCCTGGCGCCGATGTCTTTTGTGAGCGACTCGGTGTTTTTGCGCATCTGAGCCTGCGTGCATGCGTCAGGTCATACATGTGCATGAAATTCATTTCCGGAGAAAGTAATTGACTGCGTCGTAGCTTTGCGTTATACTCTTAAAATATGTATATGATAAACCTCGAACTATTTAAACTGTATGAGGATGAATTGCTTTTTTGTGTGCGTGTTTACACATTATTGCACGCGTAAAATTACAAGTAAATAAGGTTACACATCGGAGCATACATATGTATGTACATACATACATTAGTATGCAAAGATAGCAATACACTCACCTGTTCCACTCTCGTTGAAAGGGTTCTGCTGTCCCCTGGTATTCATGTTGGATCGCGGTGGGGGCTGCGGCCGCTTTTGGGCACCATCTCTTGGCCCGGTCACAGCTCCACCCAGCAAGTGTTGCGTTTCCGGCTCCAAGTCACTGAGTATGCTCTGTGTCACTGTCCCACTGGCACGTCGCAACAATTGCACAGGTGTCGAATTGGATTCAATTTCATGCTGCACCTTAGAACTGTACAACTCATCTAAAGACTTTTTGCGAAAGCCCTGCAACTTTGGTCCGTCACTAGTCGCAACAATATCATAAACATCTAGATTCACCATAAGTTCAAGTACAATGCAAGTACAATTAATTATTTATTTCCATTATACATATGTATATCACATACACGCTTTTTTATAAATGCAATCATTCCAACAGTTTTTTTCGCGAATAACAATTTTACGAAATTGTAAAAAATATCGAAATATCGAGTATTTGATATTGTTTTAAACAAATAGAATTGTTTTCTTTTATCATTAACTTACTATGTACACAATGTATTTTGCAAAAATTAGAGGGAATTTGGTTTTTTTATGTATTTGTTATTTCTTTGACACATGCATGTATTGTAAAAGCGGACACTTGCACTCACTGTATAAACAAATACAGTACACTCTAGCTCATCGCTCGATCGATTGCAAACATCGCGTTTAAAGAAAAATCCTCGGCCAACGGATATGCTTTTAAGAGAGCGATTGGCTTTTAGTTTTTGCAATTTAATTAACTTTAATCGAAAAATAAATATGTTGAGTAATTTAATTTAATTTTTTGTAAAATATGAAATATACCATATTTTAGTCTTTGGTCCTTTGCAAGAATTTATGTGTTACGTCTACAATGTTGAGAATTCGGGTGTTGCATTTATCAAAGAGTAGCGTGTATTGTTGAATTTTAACTGTATAATATTCCCAACAACACATTTACTCACCACTTTCGCTGTTCATGATTGTCTAACACATCAAAACGAACAACAAAATCCATACACACACATTCATTTACATATGTATGTATGTGACGTAATTAAATGACTGACCGAATGGCAAGTGAATAGTACAAGAATGCACGCGAAAACAAGAATGGTGAACGTAACAAAGACGAGAGAACAAATGAACTAAGCGACGCCAGCGGAGCACCGATATTGGGGAACAACTGACAATGGCGGCCGCAATGTCTGCTATGTCTTCTAAATTTCGACAAACACGGAATCTTATTATTTTTGTTACAAATGCGGTTGCTAATGTTTGTTAACAAATTAATTATAAACTCAAATTAAACAAATATCACTAGCGCTAAGTGTGCGCACATACACAAACAATCTACGTATATGTATATACAACGAACGCGGAACAGAGGTGACTGAGACGCTCATCGACAAAAACTAATTGCAAATACATATATACGAACACACCGACAGAACAATCGAAGAGCACAAATGCGAGTGAAAAATGTCATATATTCGACTAAGGAATACCGAGTACTTAAAAAATGTTGAAAATCGTCAAGTATATTTTTATGTTAATATATTTTTATATTGCCAGAAAAACGATCAAATGTAAATAAGTATATGAAAGTTCATATATAAATATGCACACATGCATATAGGAAAAGATCTTTGTGGTGATTACATTGCCTTATATTCCTCTTAAATAATTCTGCTTAAAGGGTATAACAGAGAGAACGCTAGAAATGAGCGTAACGCACAGCTAGAAATGAGCGTAACGCACAGCTGTTACTCCAAAAGTTGGAATAGAAGCTTTGTATGTATGTATATCGTGTGTTAATATGTATATGCATGTGTGATACATGTGCGTTATGGATGTGCACCTACTTTTGAGTCAACTCATTGAGTCCAAAGCATTGAGTCTTCTTGTTGATCAGCGGCACTGTGTCTAGAGTCTACAACAAACAGAATTAAGCACACATCTATTATAATCAATAATATAATTAGAATGCTAATTAGTTTAAATATCTTTTACGCTCCTGCAGAAGATGTCTCCGAACCAATAATTCTTGATCAATATGAACGCCGAGACTATAGAACCATGCTTGTCTGTCAATTAGTCGTTATACCCTTGCAGAGGGTATTATAATTTTGTCGTGCAATGTTTAACGCATAGAAGGACACATCTCCGATTCCATAAAGTATATATATTCATGATCAGTATCAACAGCCGAGTCGATAGAACCATGTCCGTCTGTCTGTTTCTATGCGAACTAGTGTCTGAGTTTTAAAGCTATCTTTATGAAACTCCGCAGAAGTGCCTCTCTCTGTTCCACGCAGTACATATGTCAAAATCAGCTGGATCGGACCACTATATCATATAGCTGCCATAGGAACGATCAGTCGAAAAGTAGGTTCTTGTATGAAAAACCTTTTTGTTTATCAAGATATCTTGACCAAACTCGGCATTTATTAGTTTTACTACGCTCCTCACATATATGCAAAATCCTATTAAGATCGGACCACTATATCATATAGCTTGCATAGGAACGATCGGTTTAATTGCGTTGTGGTATGGAAAATTTGATTGTTTTTCCCGATATCTTGACCAAACTCGGCATTTATTTGTTTTACTGTGCTCCCTCCATTTATGTAAAATCTTATTTACATCGGACTACTATATCATATAGCTGCCATAGGAACGATCGGTCGAAAATTAAGTTGTTGTTTGCAAAACTTTTTGATTTTCAAGATATCTTAACAATACTCGGCATTAACTACTTTTCCTGTGCTTCTTAGATACGGGCAAAGCACTATGAGTATTATGAAAAGGTTAGGTCTGCAATTGATGAAGAGGCCAAAACATAAACAAAAGCCAAGCCTCGTGAAAATCTGATGAAATTTGACCGCGCTATGGGGGTGGGCAATTATGACCTATGTCTATGTAGGATATTTGAGGGTACCATTTTTACATGAATTTGAACCAAATATAATGTTACCAGATTTAGATGCCAAATTGATCTACACGCCAAACCATGAAGAAAGAGCCAAGCCTCGTGAAAATCGGATGAGATTTGACCGAGTTATGGGGATGGGAAGATTTGACCTATGTCTGTATAGGATATTTGAGGGTACCATTTTCCCATGAATTTGGACCAAATATAACGTTGCCAGATTTAGATGCCAAATTGATCTACAGGCCAAACCATGAAGAGCCAAGGCTCGTGAAAATCGGATGAAATTTGACCGAGCTATGGGGATGGGATATTTTGACCTATGTCTATGTAGGATTTTTGAGGGTACCATTTTGACATGAACTTGGACCAAATATAATGTTGCCAGATTTAGATGCCAAATTGATCTACACGCCAAACCATGAAGAAAGAGCCAAGCTTCGTGAAAATCGGATAAGATTTGACCGAGTTATGGAAGTGGGAAGTTTTGACCTATGTCTGTATAGGATATTTGAGGGTACCATTTTTACATGAATTTGGACCAAATATAATGTTGCCAGATTTAGATGCCAAATTGATCTACACGCCAAACCATGAAGAAAGAGCCAAGCTTCGTGAATATCGGATAAGATTTGACCGAGTTATGGGGTGGGAAAGTTCGAAATTGGAGGGCACCTATGTTGACCTATGTCTATGTAGGATTTTTGAGGGTACCATTTTTACATGAACTTGGACCAAATATAATGTTGCCAGATTTAGATGCCAAATTGATCTACACGCCAAACCATGAAGAAAGAGCCAAGCTTCGTGAAAATCGGATAAGATTTGACCGAGTTATGGAAGTGGGAAGTTTTGACCTATGTCTATATAGGATATTTGAGGGTACCATTTTTACATGAATTTGGACCAAATATATTGTTGCCAGATTTAGATGCCAAATTGATCTACACGCCAAACCATGAAGAAAGAGCCAAGCCTCGTGAAAATCGGATGAGATTTGACCGAGTTATGGGGATGGGAAGTTTTGACCTATGTCTGTATAGGATATTTGAGGGTACCATTTTCCACATGAATTTGGACCAAATATAACGTTGCCAGATTTAGATGCCAAATTGATCTACAGGCCAAACCATGAAGAAAGAGCCAAGGCTCGTGAAAATCGGATGAAATTTGACCGAGCTATGGGGATGGGATATTTTGACCTATGTCTGCATAGGATATTTAAGGGTACCATTTTTACATGAATTTGGACCAAATATAATGTTGCCAGATTTAGATGCCAAATTGATCTACACGCCAAACCATGAAGAAAGAGCCAAGCTTCGTGAAAATCGGATAAGATTTGACCGAGTTATGGAAGTGGGAAGTTTTGACCTATGTCTGTATAGGATATTTGAGGGTACCATTTTTACATGAATTTGGACCAAATATAATGTTGCCAGATTTAGATGCCAAATTGATCTACACGCCAAACCATGAAGAAAGAGCCAAGCTTCGTGAAAATCGGATAAGATTTGACCGAGCTATGGAAGTGGGAAGTTTTGACCTATGGCTATGTAGGATATTTGAGGGCACCTATGTTGACTGTGTCTATGTAGGATTTTTGAGGGTACCATTTTTACATGAATTTGGACCAAATATAATGTTGCCAGATTTAGATGCCAAATTGATCTACACGCCAAACCATGAAGAAAGAGCCAAGCTTCGTGAATATCGGATAAGATATGACCGAGTTATGGGGTGGGAAATTTCGATATGGAGGGCACCTATGTTGACCTATGTCTATGTAGGATTTTTGAGGGTACCATTTTGACATGAACTTGGACCAAATATAATGTTGCCAGATTTAGATGCCAAATTGATCTACACGCCAAACCATGAAGAAAGAGCCAAGCTTCGTGAAAATCGGATAAGATTTGACCGAGTTATGGAAGGATGGGATAGTTTTGACCTATGTCTGCTATAGGATATTTGAGGGTACCATTTTCACATGAACTTGGACCAAATATAATGTTGCCAGATTTAGATGCCAAATTGATCTACACGCCAAACCATGAAGAAAGAGCCAAGCTTCGTGAAAATCGGATAAGATTTGACCGAGTTATGGGGTGGGAATTTTGACCTATGTCTGATAGGATATTTGAGGGTACCATATGTTGACCTAATGTCGATTGTAGGATTTTTGAGGGTACCATTTTGACATGAACTTGGACCAAATATAATGTTGCCAGATTTAGATGCCAAATTGATCTACACGCCAAACCATGAAGAAAGAGCCAAGCCTCGTGAAAATCGGATGAGATTTGACCGAGTTATGGAGGATGGGAAGTTTTGACCTATGTCTGTATAGGATATTTGAGGGTACCATTTTTACATGAATTTGGACCAAATATAATGTTGCCAGATTTAGATGCCAAATTGATCTACACGCCAAACCATGAAGAAAGAGCCAAGCCTCGTGAAAATCGGATGAGATTTGACCGAGTTATGGAAGTGGGAAGTTTTGACCTATGTCTGTATAGGATATTTGAGGGTACCATTTTTACATGAATTTGGACCAAATATAATGTTGCCAGATTTAGATGCCAAATTGATCTACACGCCAAACCATGAAGAAAGAGCCAAGCCTCGTGAAAATCGGATGAGATTTGACCGAGTTATGGCGATGGGAAGTTTTGACCTATGTCGATAGGATAGGTTTGAGGGTACCATTTTCCCATGAATTTGGACCAAATATAACGTTGCCAGATTTAGATGCCAAATTGATCTACACGCCAAACCATGAAGAAAGAGCCAAGGCTCGTGAAAATCGGATGAAATTTGACCGAGTTATGGAAGTGGGAAGTTTTGACCTATGTCTGCATAGGATATTTAAGAGTACCATTTTTACATGAATTTGGACCAAATATAATGTTGCCAGATTTAGATGCCAAATTGATCTACACGCCAAACCGTGAAGAAAGAGCCAAGCCTCATGAAAATCTGATGAGATTTGACCGAGTTATGGGGTGGGAAATTTCGACCTATGTCTATGTAGGATATTGGAGGGCACCTATGTTGACCTATGTCTATGTAGGATTTTTGAGGGTACCATTTTGACATGAACTTGGACCAAATATAATGTTGCCAGATTTAGATGCCAAATTGATCTACACGCCAAACCATGAAGAAAGAGCCAAGCTTCGTGAAAATCGGATGAGATTTGACCGAGTTATGGAGAGTGGGAAGTTTTGACCTATGTCTGTATAGGATATTTGAGGGTACCATTTTCACATGAATTTGGACCAAATATAATGTTGCCAGATTTAGATGCCAAATTGATCTACAGGCCAAACCATGAAGAAAGAGCCAAGCCTCGTGAAAATCGGATGAGATTTGACCGAGTTATGGGGTGGGAAGTTTTGACCTATG